AAGACGGCGTGCTTCACTATCTTGGGATTGAATCGTCGATACGACCACGGTTGGAAGGAGGACATCAAGGTGTAGTGAGAACGTTCCATCGCGTTAAGTCCGATTATTATTGGATCGGCTTGTACGCTGACGTGGAGAAGCATGTGAAGTCATGTCCAGATTGCAGCTCGAGTAAAAGCCGTCCACAGCTTCGTGGATACTCACCTGGCAACGTACTAGCGGAACGACCTTTCCAGATCGTCTCGATGGACTTCGTGATCCCACTACCGAAATCTCGCAGGGGCAACACGGCGTTGCTCCTATTTCAGTGCTCGTTCACGGGATTCGTTATTGCCAAGGCTATGTCAGATACGACTGCACTGAGTGTTGCCCAAGTGTTCGAAGAATGTGTGTACCGACGGTTCGGAGCCCCATCATTAATACGGCATGACCGCGACCCACGCATAATGAGCGAGGTGTTCCAAGCGTTCGCAGAGATGATGCAGTCAAGATCAAGAGCGACTTTGAGCTATAGGCCACAGGCTAATGGACAGCAGGAACGCTCGGTGAAGTCAGTGATGGGGTTCGTACGGGTGTACGCGGAAGACCCTCTACAGCAAGATTGGGACGAAATCGCGGAGAAGCTAGTATTTGCTATTAATACTTCTCAAGACACTACGAGGAAGGAAACGCCGTTCTACCTCGTTCATGGTTGGGATGCGCAGTCGACGTTGCGGGCAATGTCGTCATCACTCAAACGAGGATTCGGCAAGCAGTCTGACGCACTGGCGTGGCGGCGTGAGATCAATCGACAACATGAGGTCGCCCTCACTATGGCCAAATATTATCAGGCTGTAGAAAAGGAGCGAAGGGCAAAAAAGCATAATGATGCTCTGAGTCGACTGGAAAAAGCTGCTGTACCTCAACCAAGTGAAAACGAGCACTCGGCGGACCCCCTAGAAGCTTCAGGAGAGATGGAAGATCCTGCAAGAGCTCCCCCGAGATCTCTTTTTGGGATTGAGAGCCGGGCGTGGCTGTACATGGAACGCGTCAAACCGGGCTTGACAAAGAAATTAGCTCACCGATGGCATGGACCTTTTCGGATCAAACGCAAGGTGGAAGAGTTTGCGTACGAGCTGGAACTGCCTGACCGAAGTGGGTATCGCTTCTACCCAGTAGTGCATGTGTCGAGACTCAAGGCTGTCAACGAGTTCAACAGTCGACCGAACACTCGGTTACGACTAATGAAGCAAGACTCGACTTCGATGAGGAACTACTGCCTGAAGACAGCTGGGAACCAGATCAAGTTGCCGGTGAATATGAGGTCGACGACAGAACACCCCTGTCGACGAGCACGGAACGTGCTGTACGCGAGTTCAAAGTCAAGTGGGTTGGCTATGAAGATACAACTTGGGAACCATCATCAAACTTGTCATGTGGAGGTCTGCTGTACGACTATTTGCGAGCCAAGAAGAGCGAGAATCGGCTGCAGATGGCGCAGGTGGCGGACGAAGACTAGCGTGACTGGATCACGTGTGAACTGTCCACAGGGCGATGCAGCCTGTGGTAACAGACGAAAACCGTTACTGTAACAACAAATTGTATATGCATTTGAAGAACAACATGAACATGATTACGCTGTGGAAGTGGATTAAGAATAAGAAAACATGAATGCCGACCGGAGAGCGACCACTGAAAACGAAGTCACGCGGGATACCTCAACAGTTGGCTGAGATGCTGGAGACCGTCGTGGAACACGCAGCGAGGACATCATCGAAACCAACAGCAGTCTCGAGGCGACGCTGAGTGTGTATATCGCCGTGGAGAGGAGGCGCAACGCTGAGCTGCACTTGGTGACGAGCCATTGCAGTCAAGTACTGGATTATCGAGGTCATCATGTGATCGACCGATGCCTCCGTACTTTCAGCCAGCATGGCGCGCAGCGAATCTTCGGTGAGTGGTGGCGGACCACCAGCTGGGGCAGGAGGAGCAGCAGGAGCCATCTCCGCGGATTCAGCGACGACGGGGAGTGCTGCAGGAGCTACCACAGGGAGTGAAGAGTCCGGGGCAGCGGGCGCCGGAGGGTCGGTTGATGACGCTGCTGTCGGAGGAAGTGCAGCAGACTGAGGGGCGTTCGAACCCTCGGTCTTGCCCTCCTGAGAAATAAGTCGAGTGATACGAGGTGATGAGCAAGGTACCGATGATTCAGGAGAAGGATGGGCTTACGTACCTCCAGCTGCTCACGTTCGCGACGTCTACGAGGATTGAGACGCTGAAAAGCGTCGGACACGGCTCGATTCAGACGCTTGGACATACGGTGGCGAGATGGTGAATTGAAGAATGAAGAAATGTCACAACGGGCACCAGTGTCGTGGCTTCCATTGCGACAGGGGCAGTTGTGGTGTAGTGATTTCTCCGTAGTTGCGGATTATCACCCGTCAACAAAGACGTGACACCGCCCAAGTTGTTCAAGCGACGAACCCTCGGTCAGGTGATGTACGGAGACGCCAAGGTGCAAGGGACTCGACGGCGTCACCTCCGAGTTTTCAACAAGTATCGGACTCCCCCTATGTCACTGAATCCAGGCTGTCCCTATTATTAATAATGGACTGGCCGGATTCGCATTCAGCGGACCATCTACGGTACGAACCCTCAGTGGCGGTTGGGATGAGTTCGCGGAAGACTCAGCGACCCTTGGAAGGCACTTTCACCGTCTGGGACAGGGCGCGGACCGTTAAAGATGCTCATGCGACGGTGCAGACGACGCTTGGCATGCAAGAAGATCCATAACGGATCATTGTTCACTTGATATTTGTATACTTGATTAGGACTTCTTATTAGGAATAGACCCGAAAGGGTAAGCTTAAATACAGAACAGAATTTCCACTCAAGCACACAGAGCGACGTCCGGCTTCAAGGTAAGCGTCAGGTCAAGCTTGTTTGAGTGTGTTATGCCTGTCGGTGAACTCGAAGCTCTGTAGCGAGGGTTCATCCGGCAAGGCCAAGAGACTTTGTGTATTGGCCGATTATTATCGGGAGGTTTTACGTGACGGCTTATTGTTGCCTATTTGCACGACTGGGAGTGCTTGAATTGCCTCCCTTTTATTTCTTCCAGCCGAGTGTTGAACACTCGGTGATCTCGTAAAAGGCTTACCCGTGCCTGGTATCCTTCCGCTGTTGGGACCACGAGGATTCAAAACACCTGCTAGCTTTGCTCGTGCTAGTAGCGTGTTCTTATTTTACTGGTTGGCCTATATAAGTAGTTTACAAGGTCCAGTTTGTCGCGGTGCAAGGGCAGAACTGGGGTCTTCAGGTCCGCCCGAACGATCGTTTACTATCCTAGTAGACGTATTGTTGTGGGAACATCCTAACTACATCTGTAGCTAGAGTATACGTGGGATTTCCAACACCACAATTTCTATAGGTAACTTATAGTTTGTATTAAACCCGAGCTTATCCTACCTATAAATATACTCAGTTTACAATCTACCTTATTTAGGTCACTTCGCTCTCTTTAATTAAAGAGGGGACCTGTGAACTGCCGTTCACTGAGAGTTTGTATACTCTCGGAAGATAACTTCCTCTAGCGCAAGGTGCTGTGTGACCCCGTCACACTCCCCCTCGTACGGTTTAGCCTACATGCGTAGTGGCTTC